AAAAAAAAAAAAAAAAAAAAAAGAAAAAAAAAAAAAAGAAATGGGAAAAGCTCCTCTCACCATTACCCCTCATGATCCACTTGCAAAATTTGTTCTGCCTGCCCTGCAACTTTGGGTTCTGCTGGTCTAGAAGGCTCAGTTCCCAAGGGACAGATGTTTCTGCTAGAAGATCCAGCAATAGCTCCATTAAACTGAAAGTTGATACTGCATGCTGGCCACCTCGGGCTTCTCATGCTAAAGAACCAACAAACAGACATGGGGTTACTGAGCTGGCTGGGGTAATTACGGCCATTGGGGAGAAATTGGATTACTACTAGACTATAGGAGTAAGAAGTGTATCTGGATGAAGGGCACCTTTTATGCTCTCATGTCCAGCAACAAAAGTAAATGGAAACCAACCCAATGAGGCAGGACTGCCAAAACTCAGATCCTTCAAAGGTGAAGATATAGGTCACCCCAACAGGCAAGGAACCATGCCCAGGTACTTGCTGAGGACAAAGGGTGGGTGGAATGGGTAGTGAAAGAAGGCAGTTATAAACATCAGCTATGACCATATGATCAGTTGTAGAAAGTAGGGTGGTAAGAGTTATAAATATAATACTATAAATATTTCTTGCTTTTATAAAAATATATTTGATTATATATTAACTAATTCTTTTTTTCTCCTCTAGCTACCAACTAAAATAAAATGTGGTAAAGGTAGTTATCTTTTCTTTTAGTTTCATGGGGCTGCCATAACAAAGTCCCACAAACTGCGTGGCTTAAAATAACAGAAATTTTTTCTCTTAGAGTCTGGAGCCTAGAAGTCCAAAATCAAGGTTATCAGTAGAGTTAGCTCCATTTGGAAGCTCTGAGGGACAGTCTGTTCCAAGCCTGTCTCTTAGTTTCTGGTGCAACCCAGCAACCTTTGGTGTTCCTTCGTTTGAGATGTATCTCTCCAATCTCTACCACCCTCATCATGTGGCATTCGTTCCTTTGTGTGTATCCAAATTTCCCTCTTTTTATGAGGACAGCAGTAATTGGATTAGCCTAATCCAATATGACCTCTTTAAGAATTTGATTACATCTGCAAAGACCCTATTTCCATATAAGATCACATTTACAAAGGGCCTGGGGTTTAAAATTTCAAAAGCACATGTTTTGGGCAAACATAATTCAATCTATGATATCCTTATATCTCAGTATTTAAATTATAGGATATCAAAGACAGAGTGGATCTCAACCAGAAGAGGAATGAACTTCACCCAGAGATGGATTAAGTCACAACACATGGGGTTACGTATCCTCTTTTGGAGACAGGGTTAGCGTGTGTTCAAGTGTAGAAGTGACAGTTGCCTCTTATTAGAGAGAAACATCATTTTCTAATGTCTTTGCCTGGAAGTTATGTATGGTTAAAAGAAGTGTAGGTGGATGCCAAGGTGGCAAGGATGGGGTATGGTGGTTTCATACAGTATCAATTTAGCTAAATCAGAAACTGCATTTCCCTTTCGTGTTTCACACTGGGTTAAGGTTAGCCTTAAGAGAAACTTGCATGAGATTTGGGAGGCGGAAGTGAAGCAGCGGCCCCTATGCTCTGAAAAGGGCACCAGGCAATACTGCAGCCAGCACACAGTTTCACGGATCTGGGGACTCACCTGGGCTTAGGGCAGCAGCTGTGATTGCTGCATTACTCCTCCTTCAGTTTCACAAGTCCTGTACCAGGTATGTGTTCCACACCAGACCCTTCTCCAAAGTCACTCACATCATTGATATTGGTAAAAGGCAAATGTGGGTTCTAGATCTTCCTCCAGATTCCACTTTCCATGCAACACACACCTTGATACATGTGTCTTCCACCAGACATTGACAAAAGGTTGTCACAGAAAGGAAATCAGGAACCATGGAAAGCACTGGCGTTCAGTCTACCACCTCCATAGGGGCAGGAAGTCTTCTTTTATCTAAATACTTTATTCCTGCCCATTCTTCTGGGGGCCAGTGCTCACATTTTCTGCTCACATCCACATATAATGACTGCCTCTGATTAGAGCTTGAAGCCAAAAGTCAACCCATATTTCCTGAGATTGGATATTATGTTTGGGGACTAAAACATAAAGATAATATGCCTTGGTTTATCTACAAAAGCCTGCTCACAAGCAAGGTGAAAGCCATATTGCTTATCTCTATTCAGTGTGGCTCGCCAGACATTTCACCATCCAGAAGATCTAGTTAGAGCAATTTATCAGTGCTCTATCTTAATCAACTTCTGAAGTGTGACTCAGGCCCTGGTTCTTTATTCTAATATAGCTTTTCATCTTTGTTTTACTGTAGCCTCCAATTCTCTCTTTCTCATACTGTATTACCTTTTCAGAAGGTCATCTTTCCTCATTTATTGTCAACGTGTCATTGCTGGGTTATGTATATTTCTTCTTTCCTATTTTCCCTTGTACATTTCTCCACTTGTCAGCTTTCCTGCCCCACCTCCCGCCCGCTTGTCCTGATCCAAAAGCAGCTAGTACAAGCTCTTCAATGAAACGTGAGCACCATATCCTGGTTAATATGCACTGATTGGAAAAGTATTAACTGTTGAAATAAATGTATAGACAGGAGCTGGAGCTGTTGTTCTGTTCAACTTAAGGTAACAGTGCCATCTGTCTCTGCTGAATCTGTATATAGCAGACTTACTCTATTGAATCATTAAATTCACTCAGCACGAAACCACCATTGCCGGATGCTGAGAATGATATATGCATCGGTCGGTCAGAGACTGCTTCCTCGGAAGACGACACTCAAAATTATTTCCCAGTTAGTCGAGGCACCTAGCGAGGCCCAGAAACCTGGGGAGTCTGGTTTTTGGAGCAATAGCTTGGTTAATCCATTTTATTTTCATGAAGTGGTTCACATTCCTCATGAAGAAACAGAGGCTAAGTGACTCAAAACAGATTAGCAAAAAAGACCCGAGTCTCTCTCAGAATTCTTGGTATGTGGGTTGGCAGGATTCCTGTCGGCCCTAGGACAGTCTTTCTCTCAAATTCAAGTTCAAAAAGCATAAATCATTTCCATGTAAAGAACAGAAACTGTACTGATTCCTCTCCTTGTTTTGTTTAAAAAAAAAATTTAAGAAAGGAAACAAAACGAAACGAAAGGGAAAAAAAAAAAGGCTTACATTACACTCTATCAGAAATTTAACATTTGGATTTAGAATAAACAAAAAGAAATGCCTAGTAAATCACCATGTATTTTAAATCACTAATCATATAACAACTTGACTTCTTAAACATGCTCTAGCACCAAGGAAATTGTTAATCTGAAGAATAGAAAACACCGTAAGAGAAATTTACTTTTCACCTGATTAACTCTTTGTCGTAAAAATAATTCAAACAGCTCTCAGTTAATTCCTGTTAAGTTTGGTTTTCACTTTTCTTTTTCACTTCTAGTAGAAAAGCTATTTAAAAAAAATAAATGTCAAAAAAATACTATGTTATAGCAGTTCTAAGCAATGTTCACAAAAATAGGTCAAACGTAGTCATCTAGAACTGGACATGCCCGAACTCTTCAATTCTGTTACTCACTCCAGGCAAATTTCAGTTTGCTGTGAATCTTCCCCTTGGTCAAGTCCCTCTAGACATGTATTTTAATAAAACATAGAAAACATTGAGATCATGTTCTTCCCCTACCCCCATGCCCTCTTTTCCATGCATTGGGAACCCATGGAACACCAGCTATGAATTAACCAAGTGTGGTAAGAAAGCTGTACTCATGATGCTGAGTTCAATTTGCTGCTTTGCACTCTCCGTGGTTAATGTTACCAAAAGATGTCAAGTGAGAAAGTGGCAAGGGGAGTGGCAAGGGGGCAGGGGAGGAACCGTCAAGAACCCTAAATGGCAGATGGTCACAAATATTTATCAGACAGCCACTGGAAAGGTCACAGAATTCTAACCAATCAATCTGGCAGTGACCTGTGATCAGAGCTCAAAGGCTGGGGCAGAAACCCCCTCATCCTTCTAAGGTGACTTCACCTGAGGTTTTCCCTCTGCAGAAAATTGCATTTGCAGAAGAGGGTAGAGTGCTGTGAGAACAGAGGGGATGATGACTGGGCAGACTGATAACCGGAGCTCTTTGGTTTCCTTGCTCATTCTCTCTGAATCGCGCTGAGAACAGAGAATATTTTCCCTTCCTCATCTCTCTTTCCCCCATAAAAATACGTGTGTATTTCCACGTATGCTCCATGTACAAGTTACCAGAGGTAAGAGACGCTTGAACCTGACTTGAGGAAAAGAGGAGGAAAAAAGACACATCCCAAAATGAGTTTCATTTATATAATGAAAATAAATTTTTACACAATCAACAGAAACACATCAAGTTGGTTTTTTTTTTTCTGCGAAAAATATTTTTAAATAAATTTTTGTCTTTTTTTTTTTTTTTACAGTCTGATGTACATATGTAACAAGGTTTATGGCACTGTAACCAGAATCAAATCAAAAAAAAAAAAAATTAAAGGAAAAAGGTGGGAAGGAAAGTAATTGATTTTTATTGAATTCCTTTCGATCTCCAAGCTGGCAAATTTGCACTATTTGCCTATTATTCGGCTGCCAGCTCTAACTTGTTTGCACACTCAAAACACCGTATTATTGCACAAGAAGCCAGTGAAGGCATATGGTATAATGGTCAGTTCCTCGCTATTTCAAAAAAAAATCTCTTAAACCCAGAGGGGGGGGAAAATAATCCCGAGTATGAAACACACAAAATCAACAGTATCTTTTGTCTCTTTAAAGAATGTGAAGGGTTCTTAGACCACTTAAGCTGCCCTGATTTTCTCTTTGCACCAGTGAGTACAACAGGGCTTGGTTGGGTTGGGTTTTTGTTTCCTGTGTGGACAGCCCAGGCAGCTCTTGGGCCTTCGTGATTCAATGTCTTTTCTGTCTCTTACTTTTGGTTCTTTTTAACTTGTGTAAGTTGTAGTATCTTCGGTCTATGAACCTGCACAGACTATTTAATCATAAACTCTACAAATAGCTTAAAAGGAAAAGGGGAAGAAACAAGTTTTATTATATTTTTATTGTTGGCTTAAAAAAATTACTCCTTTAGCCTCCCTGCTTTATCAGTTCATGGGAAGGAAATCTCAACGGCATCAAAAGATAAATTCTTCTCACACTTGTGAAAAATAAGAAGTTTTTAAACAAGTTTTGTTTCCATTCACAAACTTTACCCCCATCTAAAAAAAAGAAGAAGAAAGAAAAAGGAAAAAAAGAAAGAATCCATCCTTCTTTCTCTTCGTCTCTTAATGGAGACGAGTAATCCTTTCCATCCAGACTTTTGTCAGACGACCGTTTCCACGCCCATCAGCTTTGGTGTAAGGATTCGTGGTGTCACACCGTTGTTCAGGTCTTCCTCAAACTCCAGTAATTGCCCCATGAAGTTAAGATTTGGGGAAATAATTGGTCGTTTGCCTTTGACAAATTTATAAGCATCAGTCATGGTCATCCGAGTGTGCTTCATCAAGTACGCGATGACGATGGTGGCAGAACGGGACACCCCCGCCTGGCAATGGATGAGAAGCCCTTTCCCACACTGGTGAGCTTCCTCTGGGAAAAGGGAGAAAGCCAAGAGGTGCAGGAAGGAAGAAAGAGATGGAAAAAGAGAGATTAGCTTTTATCCAGACTTGACAATGTTACATTTTGCAGAGAGAGAAAAAAAAATAAATTCAAATGGCTTTAAAGCTAAGTATAATTTACTAGTTAATTGTGTAGACCTATGGTTGCAACCTCCAGAACTGGCTAAAAGCAATATTAGCATGAATAAGAATTTACATTTCTCCATTTAAAGAGGGGACTAGGGGAAGGAATCATTCATAGTAACAGTTCACTTCAACTTATTGCAGCCAACACAGTTAACTGGCCTGTTAAGCAAGCCACTGATTAAGTAGACCCTTTTGATAAAGGATGTTAATTCCAATCACTAGGTTGTGTGGCTTATCACAACTAGTGTTGTGAACAATGTCTCTCCCAGCTGTGATAGAGAAAAAACCATTTCTTTCTTTACATTATAGAATTGCTCGGTACAGGAACTGGTATTAAATGGATTAAGGATTTCAGTCTTACTAAACTCTGAGGTTAAAGAAACAAAACCCAACGAGAAAGTTGCTATGTTCAGCTTCATACCGGAATAGCCTATTATTGCAAATGTAGCTAAAGACTTGCAGTTATCAGGCACAAGGTGTCACCTACATCTGAACTGTCCAACCCCCCCACATCTGTGTATGCTGTTCCAACATGGCAGTGATGACAAAGACGGAGGAATTCTAGTGACGGCCCAGAAATCAGAGCAACTGAAAGAAGCAATACTTTATAAGTTTTCGGATACATTAGAAGCTCAGGGGAGTGGCTTATGGGCACTGCCTAAATGGATTCTTAATGACACTTCTAGACTAAAAGGCGTCCCAAGAAAGAATTCCTGAAGGAATATCAAGTAGATGAAGAGTACGGCAGGGGAGTAAGGAGGAGTGATCTAACTTAAACCACTTTTTTTTTTTTTTTAGTTTATTTATTTATTTAAGTAATCTCTACACCCAAAGTAGGGCTCGAACTCACGACCCAGAGATTAAGCGTTGCATGCTCTTCCAACTGAGCCAGCCAGGTGCCCCTAACTTAAACTAGTTCTATTGGCTACCCACCAGTGGATCGAGAAAAGAAACATCATGCAAAATTCCATCTTAAAAATCTATGAATTAAGCTTATTTCTCATAGATAAAAGTATCTGAAGAAAGTATTTCCCTTTTGCAATTTCTTCTCTTCAGCACACACTATTTACTGACCTCCACACCAAGACTGAGAGGCATGGTGATAGGAAGATGAGCTGCAAAGTGCTAGGTTTGACCACTGGTTCCACTACACGCTAGATGAGTAACCAGGTCTGAGTCCCCTAACTCCCCAGAGCTTCACCGCCCTGTCTACATAATGGGAGTGATACTCACTAACAAGGCTCAGGGAATATGGGAATAATATCATCCAATTCAGGAATAAATAAACTGGCATAGTTAAACCCTAAACATACACTCTGCTTAGTTTATATTAGACTCTCTGTAAATGGCATTATGGTTACAAAAACTGCTGCTTCCCCTAAAGCTAGACCATACTATTTCAGTTTATCTAATGATATAACAACGAAAATAACATTGTGCCTATGCAGGCTATGATGCCGAATTGTTCTTCAGGTTAAATGCTATTTGTTACTTGTTTTGTTTTCCTTCTAAAAAAATCAGATAAGCCTGAATAACCTATAAGGAATGCAGGTGTCTTGCTTGAAATCCTGTTGGGACAAGCATGCCTGATGCTACTCATTAAATGGAAAACAATCTCTTAACTTCCCCCAGCTGGGATTAAGTCAGATAAAATTGCAGTCATAACATCATATATCAACCAGAAAGTTCCTCATCTACTTGGTGACAAATGTTTCTTCCTCGGGGCTCAAGGTTTAATTCAAATATTATTAAGAAAGAATCTAAGGTGTCTTTGCATCCACAAATGTTGCCATTCCGGAACTAACAGAGCATTGGGAACATTGCCCCAGCATATTGCCCCTATCTCGGAGTCAAGAGCCTTGCATTCTGCTCCCTTCTGACACTAAAATTCTTAGAATCTTGGAGAAGTCACTTTATTTTTCTGAGTTCAGTGACCACCCAGACTTTCCTTCCAGACTGAGTAGTCCATGGTCCTGCGCTGAAGGCACAATTAGCAAGGAAAACAGCTGGGTGACGTGAGCAGAACGGCCAACTCTACAGCAAATCTACCAGACCCAAGCCCTTTTTTCTGATAAAGGAGCACCAAACATGAATGCATTCTTCCTGGGACCTTGGCCAGTAACAACCTGCTACAATATCTAGGAAAAGTACTGGATCACCTTTTTGTGGTAATGAAGGTTGTTGTCACTTGAAAAAAAAAATTGTTTTGTGTCTACTAGGTGCCTGGTGTTCCCCCCAAATAATAATTTGAGCCTTAAAACAGTTCGAGGCTATAGAAGCAGCAAAAGTTAAAGTTAGGATTAGGGTTAGGCTGGCAGTTACTTCCTTCTGGAGATTAAAGTCTGCTGTTGTTAGATTTCCCTTCCCTGGGAACTACTCAGGCTACACAACCTGATCTCTCCTACTTTAGCGAGTTTGGAGCAAGTCCTATGAAATCTAGTACCATCTCGCTAACGCTCATATTCACACCCTTCTGCTACCCAGTGTTTAAGAACTGAGACAAAGCAAGTAGAAGGGAAAAACAACTCAGCCCCCTACTCCTGTCTCCTCTTCACTGATGTGACTGACATGTAAAGGTGTTCACAACAGCACTGTTTTACTGAAAAACATTCTTCAGAAGCAGCCTTTCAGCAAATGCCACCTTTGCCTCAACCTCGTGTAAAGTAGCTATACTGATTGGAAGTAAGAGACAGGTAAACCTGCAGATTAATTTAGCCCAACGTAAGGGAGGCATGGGTGAGTTTGGAGATGGTGTCATCTTCCCTGTATTTTATCTCTCGCAAGGTCCGACAGACATGGTAGACCAGATAGCCACAGCAGCAGCCGCTCTGGCCTCCATTGCCCTCTTCTTGGTTATTTCTTTTGAAATTCTGGGACAAAACATATCCATGCTCTTCCCTAACACCTTTTCATCGAGAACTAGAAGGATGTGGATTTCCCCACCACACGGCATCACTGTTTCTTTACACCCATCCCAGTGGCTCCCATGCATTTGTTCAACGGGCTGTGACTTAGAAGAACACTTTGGCAGCACCAGGTGGCAGAGCCTGAAAACACCTCAGAGCAGCTTTTCTGCAATGCAGGCATAAACCTTGGGCTTGATATCAAAGCAAAAGCCAGAGAGGAAAGGAAGGTGGAAGACCAGAAATCCCCTTGGGAGATAGTTACCGATGAACTCAAATGCCTCTTCAAAGTATTGCCGCAGGTTCTGCTTGTTACTGTCAGTAGCCGGCAGCCTCTTGTAGTTGAACAGGCCTTTCTCATAGTGGTAGAGGGGCAGGTGAGTGGTGACATTGATGACGTAGCCGATGTTCAGCCGCTGCATCGTGTCCAGGTCCTGAGCATCCTGCTCATTGCCAAGGAACAGGAAGGGCAAGATGGGCGTCAGCTCTGCATTCTCGATGTCAGGGGTGGTGGGGATGGACTGAGGTAGCATGCTCGAGGCTGCAGATGCACCGCTCCCCACCTCTCGGCATTCTTGGAGCTGGAGGGAGTTGTCACAGAGGTTTTCATGGTTCTGCTTAAAACTGCTGAGTCCACCTGGAGCAAACACACAGAAAGTGACAATGACCATCCCTAGAACTTCAGAGCTGGCAGAAAAGGCCACTGTCCCCAGAGACATAAGTGTGCATTCCTGCAGGTGCATGTATTTAAAAATAATATCAGAACAAAAATGCAAGGCCATTTGGAGATCCAGGACAAGTTTCAGAGGATCTCACTGCATGCGGTACTTTGGCAATGTGGCTCTTTACGCAAACCGTGGCATGTTCCCCTGGAAAGAGTTCATTTGCAGCGCCAGGCAATTTACCAGCAGCAGATTTGATCTGCCTCAAAGAGCCATATGCTCAGTGGCCTACATAGAACCTCGTACTTTGGGAGCCAAGGAAAGCATGGTCGACCTCCTCGGGCACTGTAGGCATGTCTTGCACTCTTCCATAAGCTGACCTCACCCAGAAAGACAAGTTTGCTCCCAATACACAAGAGCGGCTATGGACAGGGACCTTGGAAGACCCAGATTACCTTGGCTATAGTCCCAATAACACAACTTCTTGGCTCTGTGACTTAAGCAAGTTAATTTCTCTCTCTGTGCTTTTGGTTACCCATCTGTAAAATGAGGGTAATAGCATCTACCTTTTAGTGTGGTTGGGAGTCTGGACTGAATGAATACAGGCAAGGTGTGCAAACCTCCCCATCAACAAGGGCAGCATCATTTTGGGGAATATAGCTTAAGAAAGTGATCTAACCAAAGATATCCAGCTAGATGTACAAAGAGGTTTACTACAGCATTATCTATTTTACAGAAAAGGCCAAGGACAAAAACAAATTTTAAAAAAGGAAAAGTTATTATATTCATCCAATGGAATATTAGGAAGCCATTAAAAGTTGTGAAAGCAATATGGAAACAAAGAAAATATTTCTATATTTAATGTTAAATGAAACAAAGCCAACTCAGAAACATTCACCATACATGTGATCAAAAAGTAAAGGACCATGCAAAAAAGAGCACTTGTTTAAGGTAGGAAATTTATGGATCACAGTTTATTGTTTAAATTTTTCCTTTAATATTTATTAGATGTATCACACACATGCATAAGCCCAAAGGATTATCAGGAGTGTCAAATGACACGATGTACATATAAGGGCCAGGAAATCTGAGTTGATACTATTCCCACCAAGTGGGCTCTATTTCTCATATTACCCTGGCCTTCCTTTTGAAAGGAGGGGGAAGTTAGAGACTTCTTTTAAGCTGAAAGCCTCCAGAACACATTTATGCCCTCTGATAGACGTCCTACATCTGTCCTGATAGTTTTAGGAGGTAAGGCCGGAAAACACAAAGCGTGGACAGGATACGATTGTGTTGAAATAAAGACAGCAAGTCTATCTGTCCACTAGTTTCTGAACGTAACATATGCCTTTCCCCATTTCAAGTCTCATCTTTGGCATCTACAGCAGAAAGCTCCAGACTATAACCTAGACCAAGTCTCAGGGCTGTGCTCCCCCAGTACACAGCCAGCTAGGCATGACAACTGGGCAAGTCATATTTTCATTAAGGTCCAGCGGTGACACAAAGATCATTCAAAGAGGGTAATATTATGGTCACTCACTGCATTCAGCAGTAAGTGTCAAAACGTACCTTTGCTTTTTGAAAAGAAAAACAGGAACTATAAATTCATTTTAATGGATTCTAGAATTAAACTCTGCCTTTACATATTACTAGTTCACTCTGCTATGAAATCATGATTAAAACGTTTGTATGGGCCCTAAGAGATTATTTTTAAAGTAGACAGAAGAAATGGAAAACGAGAAAGACTTCAGTAGTGACTACTTTCTAAAAAAAATTGAAATTACCCACCATCACCATTACAAACTCCACGAAAGAGACTTTAAAGAGTTATTTTTAAATCTGCTCAGCTTTGCCTCCATAAAATCCAAGTAAACAATTCACACTGATTTTGTGATGGGACCCTAATTCACTTTTTTTTTTTTCCTTAAGAAAAAGGCAGTGGTTACACTTTTTCATATAAGATGAGAGGAAAGAACAACAAAATAAATTCAAAAGAAGTCTCTAAGGGGTTGGGGGGGGGACTTTTGTCTGTTCTTATTTAGGGTACTCAAGCTGTAATTTGTCTTAAAAGCAGCTAGTTTAAAAAAAAATGCATGCCAAAAAAAACCCACACACAGAAAAAGGCAGCATACAGCTTTTTAAAATTCTGTCTCTACACCTCCTTTCCCCATGACATCAGCTGGAGGCTCCCCACCTGCCCAGTTGCCATAGCAGTTACACAAAGACATACAATGACATCAGTTGGCATGATATCAGCTCTTTGAGTACAAACAATACAAGAAGAACTACTTTGTTTAAGGCCTTTGGTGCAACTGTGTTCTGGGGAACCAATGATGTAATGCTAACAGGTGGCATGGGCCTTCCATTTGCCTAATGGGGGGAAAAAAAACCATGGGGGAGGGGAGACGGGAACTTGAGACAGACAGACACAGAATGCTCCGAATCCCAGGGGGTGCTCATGTGCAAAACTACATGTACATTGTATGTTTAGGCCATGTAGGAACTCTGCTCACAGAATATTTGGAGATGGAGAGGATAGAAAAGGAAATATTACAACTCAAATACATGAGTTGGACAAGGAAATTCTCCTTTAGGGGCATGAAGAAACAGTCTCCTGTTCACTTGCCGGTCTGCTGACCAGCGTAGGCATCAGTTCTCACTAAGGGTCGGGCAAATCCACACACAGCAGCCACACAACTCTCCCAGGATGGAGCTTCAAGCAAAATCAACCGGTTGAATCTCACAATGGTGGTTTTTTAGAGAGATGTCTGCAGGGAAGATGGTTTTCTTCTCTTGGGGGATTGGAATTAGAAGCTGGGGAAGGAGGGGTGGGCACACTAAGGCTAATATGCTTTTCTCTTCCAATCACCTTCCCCCCACCCTAACCCACTAGAGGCTAAACTGTCTGATCACTTAATGAGGAGATTTGATTATGTCCTGTTCCTTATTACTACATAAGAACATTCTAACAGGATAACTAACAAGTGAGGTAGAGACAAAGTAGCTGGTGATTAAGAACCCATGTTAGAGGCAGACAGACCCAGGCTGCAATGTTGATTCTGCCCCATAAGAGCTGTGAGTCCTGGTGCAAATCATCGTCCTTCACTAAGCTTCGGTTTACTGATCTGTAAAGTGGGCATAATGTCACCTACCCATAGAGTTGTGGTGTGGGCAGCCTATGTAAACGTGTTGATATATAACCAGGCATTACAATGATAACAATGTCTTCTTACTCCGCTATCAGCACCGTCCTTGTCCTCATCTCCCTTTGATCCGTCCACACTGCAGTCCGTGAGAACCCTAAGTGCTATGCAGTGGTTCTCAGGCCAGACGGCTTGGATCTGAGTCCCAGCCCTGGCGACACCAGCTACCAGACCCTGAGTAAAATTTCTTACCTCCTGGTTCCTCAGTTTCCCCAGATATAAAACAGGGACAATAATCGTACCTACCTCACACTCCCGTTTTGAGGATTAGACTGGTTAGTAAAAATAAAGTATTTTGAAACAACATCTGTCCATGGTAAGTACTTTCTTGTTTTCATTACTTCAGAAAACTGCTATTTTAAAGATCTAAAAAAAAAATTTCTTTTGCTTAATATAAAGACTCTAAATGATCAGTAAGCTAATATTCCAGAGTTTTTACTTTTTATTTTATTTTATTTTATTTTATTATGTTATGTTAATCACCATACATTCGTTTTACTTTTAACATTTTATTTAAAAAGAGCCAGGGACCAATGTACCTGAGCAGTTTTAACATTTAAATAATATATTTTTATCATAAAGAAAGCCACAGCTCCCTATCCTTCCCTAAACAAATAGATCTGATTTCATTTCTTTGCCCTCGCTTCCCCAGTAAAAACTGCGTATTTTTTGAATTCCTGTGTGGTTGTTTTTTGTTGTTATTGTTGTTTTGGTTTTGGGGGGATTTTTTTGTTTGTTTGTTTTTTCCAGAAGAGGAGTATGTTTTAAATAAAACGGCTCTTGGCCCATCCCTCCTCCCATGTCCTCGTCCCCACCAGGCTGAGCCATCTTCTTACGCACACGACTGCCTGCAGTCACAGTGCAAATATTTTCAAGGCATGAGCAACATTGCTGGGGGCAAACATTTCCAACCTTATCTCAAAACTAGGTTCTCTGCCAAAATGAGCATGGTCAGCACTTTGATTCTGAATGGGAACAACAAAGAAGATTCCACCCCTAAAGAAAAATATGTAGAAATATAAGTCCCAGTTTCTTCCAACAGCACGGCAACAGACCCACTGAAGCAATGGAGTCTAGTTTTAGTGGGAAACTCTTTGTAGATCGGTTTCAGCTCCTGCTGCCTTTGTGGCAGTTTTGCAGTCCCAGAAACAGCAGAGCCTTAAGTAATGTGATTCAGAAGCAGCGCTCTGGGTGGCAAAGGAAAGAACCATGTCCAAATACGGAATCTGTAAGCAAGAGATTTCCATATTCTGGAGATGGGCAGCATGGTCGCACACACGTTTTTCGGTTTCATGCGAAGCTGGAAAGTGAGCACTCTCCAGAAATGTCAGGAAAACTCTCACTGAAGGCCAGCAAATGGAATGAACCCCCAAAGAGAGGTAGAGGGGATGAAAATGCAACTCTCTCTACCAACTTGCTGCGAGCATACTGATCACCCCTTTTTGTTGTCTACTTTCTCTTAGTGGGTGACTAGACTTTTATTTTTTTTAATTTTTTAAAAAAGATTATTTATTTTAGAGAAAGAGAGAGAGCGCAAGCAAGGGGAGGGGCAGAGAGAGAAAGAGAGAGAGAATCTCCAGCAGACTCCGTGCTGAGCGCGGAGCCCGATGTGGGGCTCACTCTCACAACCCTGGGATTATGACCTCAGCTGAAATCAAGAGTTAGACGCTCAACCAACTGAGCTTGGGTGAACAGTCTTTTAAAGTAAAACAAGGGGCGCCTGGGTGGCTCAGTTGGTTAAGCGACTGCCTTCGGCCCAGGTCATGATCCTGGAGTCCCGGGATCGAGTCCCGCATCGGGCTCCCTGC